ATGGGTCTCCACTGTACACGCAGTGCGAACGTGATGTTTGCACAAGTTTTCGATCTCGGGCGAGCCGCGGCGCACTGCTGGTCCAACGGGGGGCGCGTCGCGGCCGCAGCCGTCATTGCAGCGTGCGTCCGATTGCCAGGACGGGGATCGACTGGCGCGGCTCAAGCGGATCGGATCAGCTACAGTCGGGGCGTTGACCCAAGGAACCCTAAATAAGGAACGGGGCCCCTTTTTTCCATAAGTAAAACTTCGATTTCCGATCGGAAACCTAAGGAAAACCTGCGGCAAGCTGCGAAACACTTACGGAACGCGGAGCCCCTCCCCAACCAAAAGGGTTCCTTCTTCAGGGCCCCGGCTGTACGTGCCATCGCTATGGCGTCCATTCCCCGTGCCTTTTTCGGTCTCGTGCTCTTAGTTTTCGAAACTGATCCGAGATGCTCCTCGATGGTTCTCGCCGAGAAAAACATGCACACGTTCCAGCGATGCCAAAGCAACCGTAATTACAGCGTGCGTCCGGCCGCCAGGAAGGGCGCCGACTGGTGCGGCACGAGCGGACCAGCTAACGGCGGAGGGCTTAGGCTTACGCCCAAATCTCTGCAGACACCAGAAGTTCGCCATCGCTCGGACGTCCTCTGCCCGTGCATTTTTCGGTGTCGTGCGTGCTTCTTTCTGCTCGATGGTGCAGGATGCTCCTCGATGGCCCTCGCCGAGAGAAAATGGCCCTCGCCGAGAGAAAATGCACACGTCCGAGCGGTGCCGAGCCAGAAGCAGGGCCGGAGAAGAGAGGGGGGGGGGCGGCAAAGGTCCCTCAGGGGCTCCTGCCGCCACTGCCGCCGCTCCCTCGTCGCTGCCCCCCGCCGCTGCCGCACCGAGAGAGAGACCTGCGGGGCCTCAGCGGGGCACGCCTGCAGGCTCCATGCAGCAGACAACATGAACTGCGGGATCGAAACACGAGGTCGTAGGGCCCTGGCACAGGGCACGCTCGCATGCACAGCGACCACGCTGCATTACGCAAGTCTGCGCCCGCTCGGGCGCGCCGTATGGCTTGTGCTCATCCATGGTGGGCTCAGCCGCCACCACCTGGCGCGCATGATTGAATACACGTTTGGCCGCCCGCCAACCAACCGACAGGGCGCATGCTTTGTGAATCTCAATTTGACGTTGCTGTTTCCGCGACGGCGAGTTCGCGTCGTGACGACGTCCGCGCGTTGGCCTCTGACAGTGTGTGCGTGGATCGTTCGGAGGCGCGCCCGGGGGGGGGGGGAAGTGAGAAGGATCAGGGCTTCTCAGAAGGCGGCGGGGCTTCTCTGAAGCCCTCTGGCCTCCTGAGAGGATACCGCTGTCTTCGGGAAAGGCTTGGAGAACATCTTAGAAGGCCAGAAACCTTCCGAGGAGGCCCGCCCCTTCTCAATTCCGCCACCAGGCTTGTCGCCGAGTCGTGGAGCCTTGCACGAGCACAGCTTTCCGCCAGCGCAGACCGCTCGGTGTCGGCCGATTCCAGGTCACTGGCGGCGTCCAACCTTGACCGCCAGCGCCGTAGCCGCGGACACGTTGATGCGGCGCGAACCTGGTACACGCCGTTCGGAAGAAGTAGGTGAAATCATGAAGTAGGAAGGCGGACAAAGTAGATTGGGTTCAGGCCCTCCCAGAGAAGAACAAAACACAGCAGAAACATATCTGTTCTTGAAGTCGGCAGGCGCTGGAAGCAGACTGGGATCTGGAAATCCAGAAAAACACGTTTACTTTCTACGACTGGCGTGTGTACGTGCCCACTGCTCCCCGTACCCCTCTGCCAAGGGGCCTCCCGACCAGGCTGCCGGGGGCGGGCCCGGCCGCCCCAGGGAGAGGGGCGAGGACGACGGAAGAGCAGCAGCGCCCCCTCTCCTCGGACGCCGCGCGCATTCTTGCGCGCGGCGTGGGCCCCCGTGGATCCCGACCCCTCCCCGGGGCCACCTCTTCACCCCGAATCGTCTTCGACGGGCCTGGGTCACGGAAGCGGCTCGCCAAAGTCGACCGAAGACGTACACAGCACACACACACACGCACACACAAACAATCACAATCACACACAAACGCACGCGCACACACAAGCGCCCTCCTCGTTTCCAGTTCCAGTCATTCCAATTCCGGCCACGAATTACATACGAGACGTGGCGACAGGATGGGGTCGGTAGCGTTGGGCCCACGAACTAGAAGTGAGCGCTCTGTGGGGAGAACCGGCCTTGGCGATTTGCTTGCGACGCCCAACTCTGAGGGTCGGCCTGCTTTTTGCGGTCCCAGAGCGCTGCGGTGACGGACCGTGCGGTGACCTCGGAGGGCCCGATCGTCCGAGACGTCCTCGCAGAACGACCCGAGTTCCGAAACCGTGCGGTCACCCCGAATCCGTACTGACTCACCACACGATGTGGTCACCGCACCGTTCGGGGGCCCCCGACCTGATGGTCGGTCTGTCTATTCTCCCCCGTCCTGCTTGAATCCTTTTTCTGGTATGGGCTTCGAA